ATCCATTAATGTCAATCAAATTTTCGTTGCTGTCATTGAGCCAACTTTCAGAAATTGCGAGAACATCAATCTCAAAATTCAATTCTCGCAAGAAATCATAAATGTCATCAGATTTATTCAACAAACTTCTTACGTTTATATGTAGAATATTGAATAAATTTTGATTAAATTGATTTTTAATTATTTTCATTTCAGAGTTAAAATCATTTACATCATAAATCTTACATATGTTGGCAATATTTTGCTGAGAGTTTTCAACATTTTCACATACTTCATTTTTGTCAATAGTAAAAAAACAATCCGAAAAATTACTATCCATGGTTGTTGTCAAAATTATTTGCGGGTTTTTTTTCTTTAAAGTGCCAGTCTCTTACAATAATATGTTTCAGAATGATATCAGGATTTTTCATTTTATTGCTGTCACAACTTTCTACACAAACTCGAAACATTGTTGAATGCTCATTTTCAATATCAGGTGTGCTATCGTTTGCCATTTCTGAACGCTTCAACACTGGGTAACACGATAACACATTAATATCATTTGACTTTAGATATTCACCTACATCATCTCTGTGACACTTCATCACGTTACTTACTGAAAAGAAAGATTTTTTAATCAAAATCTTATTCGCCTTCAGTTTACAATCTTCACTATCTTTGTTTCCAATTATCTTTTTGACACCTTTTTTCTTTTTTCCAGTTTCGGTGTTAACGATATTTTCATCACTCTTCATTTCAGGAATATTTTTGTTTTGGTTTTTCCTCGGTCTGTTTACAACAGTGAATGGTGATGCATCTACCTCAACTGGTATTTTATCTGTAAGTGGCAGCACATTTACCTCAGCTGGTATTTTAACTGCATCAGACCATAAAATTGGTTTTTGCATCAAATCATTATTTGCAGCTGTATTCAATTTCAAATTTTCATTATTACAGTCGTTACGATTTTTTATACCTTTTAAATTGCACTCTACATAGTTTGTTTTCCCTTTCAGCGCGGCAAATTCTTCGCTGCACTTTTCAATGAAAGCTGAGATAGTAACATGTTGTTTGTTCAACATGTCTCTAACTTCGTTTTTCAATATTTCAAAATTTATTTGAAAACATTTTTCGAAATTAGGTATCTTGTACATATTTGAGCTGACAAATAAAGGGAGCTTATCCAACATGTTAGCTGCTACCATATTTTTAAATAGCTCAATGCAATCCACCAATTTGTCCTTTTTTTGAGTGCCATTTGTTAACAATTTTTCAATTTTTTCACATTTCAGGTTAACGAACTCACTTTTCAAAATTTTCGAAGCATCTACAATATCGTCATTGGTATAGAAATCAGCAGTATTACAAATAAACACTTCATTTTCGAGCAAATTAATATTATTAGTTAAAAAATACAAAATTTCGCTAACAACGACCTTTCTGGCAGCCATTTTTTCCGGAAAATGGCTGCATACATACATACATACATACATACATACATACATACATACATACATACATACATACATACATACATACATACATGCATGCATGCATGCATGCATGCATGCATGCATGCATACATACATACAGTACACTATTCGTTTGTTCACAATCAAGGCCGGCTGGATTGTTTTAATTTCCTGATTATTTTTGCTAAATTCATAGATTTTAAATTGTTTTTATAGATGATTTTTGGGGTCATCGGCTGTAATTTTGTCCCGGGTTTGTTTTTCCGTCATTTTTTATCGTTTTTCTGCCTCGGCCAATTTTCTCGTTTTTTGTTTTTTTTTTCAATATTATAATTTATTCACAGCTCATAGCTGCTACAGGTCACCGGCCTGCGCCAGGTGTGAGCTGTTTTTATTATTATTGGAAAGTTCACTACATTTTAACTTATTTACCTTCTACCGGCATTTATTTTTAATTTACTTTTCAAATTAAAATTTAAAGTTTAAATTAAAATTAAAATTTATTTATAAAAAAAAGAAATTTCCTAAACCAATTTTTAAAATCTGTGTAAAAATAAAAAATAAAAAAATAAACTATAAGGGAGAGATTGGGCCAAAGTTTGCTGCAATAGTGTCTCCTCCCACACTTTACCTAGGTTTTGTATCACTCAT